CAAAGGAAATCACCAACAGAGTGAAGAGACAACCTACAGAATGGGGGAAAAATTGCCAGCTACTCCTCAGAGGACTAATACAAAAAATTCAAAATAATTAGACCCCTCAAATTTAAAGACCCAATCCAAAAATGTGCACCTGAAATGAACAGACACTTCTCAAATTAAAAATTACAAGACCAATAAATATGTGAAAAAAATGTTCAACATCATGACTATTTGGAAAATGAAAATGAAAATAACACTGAGATTCCACCTCCCTCCAGAAAGAATGGCTACCATCAAGAAATCAGCCAATAACAAATGCTGAAAGCTATGGAGGGAGAAAAAAGAGCCTTTCTCCACTATTGGTGGGAGCGTAAATTGATACAACCAATATGGAAATCAGTATGGAGATTCCTCAAAAAACTAAAAGTAGATGTTCCATTTGACCTGGTTATTCCTTTTCTAGGTATTTACCCAATAGAGTTAAAGTCATCGAACCACAGTGATACGTCCATACCCATGATTATAGTGGCACAATTTATAATAGCTAAATTTAGGAAACAGCCCTTACGGCCAACAATAAATGAAGAAAATGTGGTACTTATATACAATGGAGTAATACTCTGACATAAAGGAGGATAAACTTGAATCATTTTTAAGTAAATGGGTGTACCTCAAGACTATAATCTTAAGTGAAATAAATCAGGCACACAAGTTTATGAAAAAAATTAAGATGTGGTATGTACATATACACATCCCCCATGATGAATGTGATCATTACGTACTGCAAACATGTACTAATAAAAAATAAATAAATTTTTGAAAATTTGCTTGAGTTCTTTCAAGAAGAATTGAAATAGTAGTTTCTGATTGGTCCCAGGTGCAGGGCTTTGCGAATTGTTGTGCTGTGTCCTAGAACTCCATGATTGACAGATCATGCCCACTTGCCCAGCCAGTTTGCCACATCCTGATCTCCTGCCTCATTTTCTGTAATTCTTTATGAGGTGCTAAGGATGTGAAGATCTCCATCTTCACATGGCCACTTCCTCCTACTGTAGGAATGAGGCTATAGGTCCTATCAACTAGGGATTATGCGCTCTCTTTCTTTGGATGTTTGTTACACACCACCTGGGTTGAAAAAAACCTGTGGGAAAATGATAAGAGTTAGTGTCTATATGTGAAGAACTGTTGAACTGCCTGCTTAATGGAAGAGAGCTTGGTAAACTGGCCAGACTACTATTGGGTTAAGGATGTAGAGCCCAAATATGAGGAGCAGAACAGATTTCCATGCTTCCTGTTGAGACAGAGGGATATTAGATAGGCTACCAATACCCATTTATATGACTCTATTTATTTGTCCCTGAATCAGAGCTGGAGTCTTGCTTTTTGAATAGGAACCTAAGGTCTTCCAGTGGTTCACAGAAGCTTTCTTCTTTGAATGTTTTTCTTCAGATATCTCAGGTGGAACTAGCTTTATTCTACAAAGGTGAATCCAAAAGACTTCCAGGGAAATGCAGAGTGGTAAGTAACTCAGACTAAGCTTTATAATCTACACATTGAAAAATAAAAACATGGCGAAAAAAAAAAGACAGGTAGATCCTTGAAAATCAATCAGGAAGGCTCTAACAGGAAAATTAAAACCTATAGAGAAATTGAAAAGACAGAAAATAACACAGAGAAGGAAAGGGACAATCTACATGTACTCCCTGGCTCCTAGCTTGGGAGAAAGAGAGACTGAATCTCAAAGACAGAGTGAAAGCTGGGGATTACAGAGAGCTTCTGGGAGAAACTTGTCAGTGGAATGCATTAACAAGTATTGTGAGCTGCAGGGAGAGTGCAGGATTCTGCTCCCATGTGAGTCCTTCAAAAAGCAGCAGCTGGTCAGTGACTCTAGTCCAAATGACCAACCACATCCCCTGCAGAGAATGTCTGGTTAGATGACATTCGAAGGAGTTGTTGGAACCTGGGACTCAAAAGTATCCACAGGATGGCTTCATTTCAGGGCTCCCAGTATTACATTCCTGCCATGACAGGGTGAAAGCCAGACATAGTAGATAGCCAGGGTCAAGGAAGCCCAGTGAGGATTGAAAGAGATCTTGAGATGTTTAAAGTAAAGGACACAGACCCCCATTCCCACAGCCAGAGGCCAGGCTCAGCCAGAGCTGCCGTGGATTTGAAAGTCATGGCGTTGGCATCTTCACCCTAATCCTACTGCCTGCTGGATCCTGTATCCAACACAATCTGGAGCTTGACTGCCTTCTCTATCTACCAGAGTGAGCAGGGACACATCTTGATTTAGACACTGACCCAAAATTGTAGAGCCCAGAAGAAAGCCACACATATGAAATCACATTTTTTTGTTTGGGTGGTCAGTTTGTTTTTTTTTTTCAGTTTTTTGTGTTTTTGTTGTTGTCTTCTGTGGTTGTGTGCATTGTTATCAGTTTGTCTTGCTTTCTTTTTTTTTTTCTTCCTTTTCCTCCTTAAACAGTTTATTGGGACTTGGAATATTTTCTTTTGTCCTTCTTCCTTGCATTTTATCTTTTTCTTTCTTTTTTCCTTGATTTACTGTTTCCTCCTCTCTTAATTTTCCTCCCTGTAAGCTTTGCCCCTTATTTTTACTCCCTATATTTTTTTTCTTTCTTTTTTTATCTTCTATTTCTCATCACTTTTTCTTCTTACCTTTACCTAATTCTATAAACATCCTTCTAATTCCCAATTAGATCCTTTGTACAATTTCTCTTTCCTCATTCTCATATCACATAGTTAAAACTTTTCCTCTTAGATTTCCCCATTCCCAACCCCTATATCTTTAATAGTATAACCATGAAGCAATTTTAAACTTTTGATAGTTAACTCTGTAAAATTACTGTTGAATTATTTTCCTCTATCATTAGCAGGGATATGGCTGTCCCATTATACATATATATTAACTGTACATTAATACCTAGGTTGTCTTAATTTTATGCCATAATTGTGGATTTCTTCCATAGGGTCAAGGGAGGTGCATAAATATGTTATGGTGTGTTAATATCCAATGTGTAGCCAGGTGTGGTGTCACATGTCTGCAATCCCAGCACTGGACAGGCTGAGGCAGGAGTCTCACTATATCTGGCATACATAGTGAGTGCAAGCCAGCCTGAACTACATAGCAAAACCCTGTCTTTAAAAAAACAAACAAACAAAAGGCCAGGAATTTAGCTCAGGGGTGCTGCTACCTGCCTCAAAAGCACAAGGTCCTGAGTTCAATCCCTGGTACCGCAAAAACAAACAAACAAAAAACACCAAGCAAACAATAAAATTAAAAACAAAGAAACAAAAAACTCCTGTGCTGGGAATTTAGCTCAGTGGTGATGCCGCCTGACTTGCTAAGTGCAAGGACCTAAACTCAATCCCCAGTATTCTCCGCAAAAAAACCCAAATAACTTCAATTTTTTAGTACTAACAGTAGGGAGACTGAGGCAGGAGAATCACTGCGAGCTCCAGGCCAACCTGGTTATATAGTGAGTTCAAAGCCAGCCTGAACTACATAGCAAGACTTTATGAAAAAAAAAAAATTTTTTTTAAAGGAATAAGATCATCTAAATGTACCGATGTGGAAAAATGTCTATGGTCTCTATGTGAAAGAAAAGCAAGTTGCAGAAGAGTATGCAGATCCTCATTTGTGTGTGAAAAATTAGGTACATATATTTGTATACATAATGAAAGTTTTTGAAAACAGTTAATAAGTCCTTACCTGCTGGAGAGTAGTACTGAGAAAAATCCGAGATGTGGAGAAGAAAACTTACATTGCTTTTTATATCTTATTTTACTGTCTTAATTTTTTTGTTTTTTAAACCAATGAAGATATGCAAACTTATGTTGTGCACTACAATATAAAAGACTACATGAAGTCCAATCAAGTAAATACTGTATCACTTAGGTTCCTATTAAAGAAATTTGCTTTTCGCTTACTTTGTATTTCTCTCTCCTCTCTCCCTCTCTCTCTCTCTCTCTCTCTCTGAGACAGGCTCTGGCTATGTAGTTGTAACTAGTGTTTACAATGAAATCAAAAAGAGAAGACGTGATTTTCCCCCCTCAGGTGCTAGGGATCTAACCCAGGGCCTTACACCTCACCTACTAGGCAGACTCTATACCACAGAGCTACACCAGCATTTTGTTTGTAGAACTGGTCTCCTTATGTTACACAGGCTGGCCCTGAACTCCTGGACTCCAGTATTCCTCCTGATTAAACGTTCAAATGTCATATGCGCACACATAGATTTTCACTTGTGCATGGTAATTATTGAAAGCATTGATTAACTTTTAAGTGTTACTTGGTTTAAGTATGCAGGGATACTTCTCAAATTAACATTTGTACTACGTTCAGTATATCTGATTCCTACAAAGAATTTAAAAATAGCATACCATTTCAGCTGTGTGACCTTAGACAAATCATGTGGCTGCTTTGAGCCTCGGTTTCCTTCTGTGCGAAAAAGAATGCAATCTCTCGGGCTTGCTGTCTGCCGGAGATTTCTCTGGGCTGGTTGGTTACAGTGCACTGGCAGTGCCTGGCACAAGGAAGCCGGTCGCGTGGCGCGGCTGGGCGCCCGCCTGAAAAACCGGTTCCCACCCTGTGGACAGTTTTTTCTCACGAGCATTTCTGCCCGCCAAGTTCCCTTTCTGAGAGTGCAGCAGCCAGTGCCCGCCAGCTCCACCAGCGGCCTCCACTAGGTGCCAAGTCCCGCGCGGCACTAGTTTTGTGGGTCAGGCTTCAACTGAGGCCACCTCACTCTGTCTGTCCTGGGCGAACTTGACTCGATACAGAAGGCCGCCTCGCCTGCAACTGCAGCTGTTTGAATTCTGGCGCCACTCCCGCGCCTCATAATGTCTGCTAGCCTGGCAGACTCAAGAAAAGAGGCACGCCGCGCCTGCGTAAGCGCGCTACAGTGAAGGACGGGCACGCGACGGGCGTACGGCGCGCGCACCACGCCCCGGGACGCCCCCCCCAAGAAAGAGACGCCACGCGCGCTTCCGCTCTTTCGCCTTGGGAGACTGCCACGCCCCATCCTCTCGCGCGTCCAATAGGGGAGAGACGGCGGGGAGGCCTCGCTCTGACTCGGGAGAGGCTATATAGGGAGCTGCAAGCGGAAGGGCTAGTTCTTTTACGTCGGGACCTGGGGTCGTCCTTCTTTGAGTACGTGAGTGCATTTTATGGGGCTTTGTGCGAACAGAAAATGGTGGTGCAGGAGGAACTTCCTGCCTCAGTGCTGTTATCTTGGGGACTTAAGCTCAGAATACTGTTGCAGAAGGTCCCCTAGGAAGCCTTGAGCGGACAGACGTGTTTTCAGCTCCTGTCGTGGTCCAGGCTTGGGGCGCCTCCTAAATTGGCTGGAGGCGGGAAAGCTATACTTAGGGTTCTGGCGTGGGAGGTTCGTTCAAGAGCGGCAAGCATTTGCTAACACGGAAAATGATATTTTCCTGTCGCCAGGTTATTTCAACAGGGTCACCCCTGACCCTGTAGGATTCGGAGCTGTTTTGTTCTCAGGGGACGTTGTGTGCAATTCGGATTAACAAAATGGGAGGAGGGGGGATTAGTGCTGAAAAAGAATTGAAACGTCCGCATTCTGTAATGTTTAATTTCAAACTTAGTCGCTTTCCTGCAGGAGCAATGTCGCCGTTTTTCGGAGATATATCGGAGTATTTGAGTGCACGTGCCAAGGTAAAAACTATTAAAATGATTTTTTCAATCTGACGGGGGGGGTAAACGTACTTCGTGAAGATAAAAATTAGTGCATCACTTAAATTTTGCTTCTTTATACTAGTCGAGTGAAAAAATTCCAAACTGTCCACCAGAACCTTCAATGGAAAAATACTTGCTCAAAACTTGACAGTCACACCAGGTATGTATTGGACTTTTTTTTTTTTTTGTACCAGGGACTAACTCTGGACCTTGAGCTTGTTAAGCAGACAGTAGAACCACTGAACTAAATCCCCGGCCCAGTACTGGACTTTATATTGTGATTAAGCATATGTTCAAGCTGAATGTAAGCGAGTTGAAATTTTTGTCTTTCAACAGTGTCATCGGTGTTGATAATGTTGAAGGTATAGATATCATTGGCCATTTTGAAGATGAGATATCACTTATGTTAAAGTAAGTTGTGTGATTTAAAATGGTATTTCTAATGATTTCTAATGGTGCTAATGATGAAACCCAGAGTGTAAGGCATGATTGGTCTACTACTCAATGATGAAACCTATTCCGAAGCTGATTACCTGAAGAAAATCATGCACGGATTCGGCTTCTGAGATGTGACCAAAATTTGTGAATAAAATGTTTAGATTTTTATGATAGTTCTGTTCAATAACTCAAAATGCTTAATCTTTTTCAGTGAGTAAGTATTCCAGTATACTCAGAAGCCATCTTGCTGGGAAGTGCCTAAGGTGGATTGATTGATTTCTGTGAGTAGATTTTGTTTGCATAGTAATTACCAGATATTGTGTCCTTGGTCTTATCTGTGATGATCCTATCCCGAACCTGAATTCCTGTTGAAAAAAATAACATTTACGGATCTGGCTTCTGAGATAGACCAATATAAGGACAGTTTTTTTTTTTTCCAAATACTTTTTAAATAAGTTTTAACCGGGCCTGGTGGTGCATGCCTGTAATCCCACACTCGGGGATAAGGCAGGAGGATCACTGCTAGTTTGAGGCCAGCCTGGGCTGCATAGTGAGCTCAAGGCAAGCCTGCACTATAAAGTGAGACCTCTCAAAAAAAAGTTGTGATCTTAAACAGTTTTGTGACTTTCATGTTTTTCCTTTTCTAGGGCTGGTACCATAATGGGTTTTCCTGTTGTATGAATGGCTGATGAAGACCACCAAGAAAGGCACACATGAAGATCACTTTAAAAGTTGGGATTGCATTAGTTTTTCTTTTGCTTGGTATTGGAGTTGCATTAGGCATACAGTTCACTGGTAGCCAATGAAACAGCCTGGGTTTTTGGGGAGTTCTTGAATTTTAGCTAACCAGCCTTTGAGAGGAAACACTAAATTAAATCTGAGTTTCCCAGATTGAGGTAAAATTTCCATCCTCCTATCTCAGCCTCAGAGTTTTGGGATTATCTAACATGCCTTTAATCATCTGGATTTAAAAGTGAAAGTTTTTGCAATTTTGGGACACTGCCATATATGTAGAGCTGGCCTAATTTGTCATTGATCAATGACTAGCCTAGTGATGGAGTTAATAAGTGAAATTTCTACATAGCAATCAGTGTGCTGTCTTATTTAAATGTATGTACTATAGTTATGTGTACTGCCGAAATTTTACTTGTTTTCATGCCTCAACCTTCATCTGCTCACCTGTTAATAGAGAACTACATTAGTTCCACATTTTGCTCCTGTGAATATTGCTGCAATAAGTTAAGTATGCAAATACAGATGTCTCTGACATACTTGAATTCTTTTATGTCCATATATAAACAATAGTTGGGTTCTATTTCTGATATTTGGAGGCAGTAGTAGTTCTTCCCATCATTGGTAACGCTTGATATTTGTGTTTTTGGTGATAGCCTTTTTAATTGAAGTGTTGCCTTGTTTTGGTTTTCATTTCCCTAGAAATTACTGATGAAGATTTATGTGCTTATTGGCAGTCTTGAGAAGTAGCTGTTGAGTAGCTCAGCCCATTTTGGGTTTTGGTAGTACTTTGTTTCTTGAGACAGTCTAGTCATTCTTTGAACATGTAATCCTGCCTCAACCTCCAGAGCCTTGGTATTGATGCTGTGCACTACCACACCCAATTCTCATTTGCCCTTTGTGTGTGTGTGTTCCTACAGATTAAACAGCCTTCTTGCAAAATACATCCTTGGCCCATTTTTTTTAATAGCAAAACATTTATTGGTACATTTTAGGCTTACATAATTATAACAAAATGGGGAATTTGTACATGATAAATCCCACCTCTTCCCAAGTTCCTTCTATGTACAAAAGTTTTGTTTCCATCTTTCCTTCCTGTTTTCACTTTTTCTTGTCCCTTTCTCCATTCCCCCTCCCTTCCCATTTCCATTTGAATATTTTCCTAATACCTATTATACATTATAGTCCTTATTTCTGGTACCAGGGATTGAACTCAAGACCTTGCACTTGTGAGGCAAGTGCAGTACCACTGAACTAAATCCCTATCCCTGCAGTTATTTCCATTTTGGGTTTCTCACAGCACAGAAATAATGTATTTAAATTTTTGTCTGGGACTTGGGATTTAGCTCAGTGGTTCCACCACCTGCTTCACAAGCATAAGGTCCCGAGTTCTATCCCTGGTACCAAAAAAATGTGTGTCTGATTTCACTCTGCTAGAAATATCTCAAGCTCATCCTTATGACAGGGTAGTACTCCACTGTATTAAAAGTATGTCCCTATGGGCATTTTGCCTATTTCCCAGATTTAGCTTGCAAACTGCATGAGTGCATGTGTAGCTGGTATGCTTTTAATTCTCTTAGAAAGCTACCTTGAGAAATCACACTGATTTCCACAATGGTTGCACCAGTCTTACACTTCCAAAACTGAAGGAGGGAGGGTTCCTTTTTCCACACAGCCTCACCAGCATTTGTTACTGATAGATGTCTTGATAGCAGCCATTGTTTTTGGAGTGATAATGGCATCTCAGCATTTTAATTCTCATTTCATGAACATTAATAAGATGAGGTCCCAGTTTTCTTTGTAGTATTTCCTTTGCAGTCTCTGGATTTTGTTCATGTAGTCTTTGCCCACTCCTATCTCCTCAAGTGTTCTACCTGTATTCTTCTCTTCAAGCAAATTTAGCATTTCCATTTTAATATTTAGGTCTTTGATCCATTTCCATTTTAGGTTAGTGCATGGTGAAAGATACCGACCTAGTTTCAATCTTCCGGCATATGGAAAGCCAGTTTTTCTAGCACCAATTATTATCTTCTAGTGATGGTGTTTGGCTCCTTTGTCAAAGATATGGTGGCTGAGTATGGAGTTTCTGCATCTTCTAGTTTGTGCTATTGATCCTCAGGTTAGTTGGTTTGTTGATTTGTTTGAGACAGGGTCTCACTATGTAGCCCAAGCTGGTCTCGAATCACAGCAATCCTGCCTCAGCCTCCCAAGTGTTGGGATTACAGTTATGCACCACCATGCACAGCTCTCAGGTCTGTTCTTTTGCCAGTACCGTGCTGTTTTTATCACAACTTTGTAGTATAATTTTAATTGTGATACCCCCTGCCTTGCCTTTGTTGCCCAGACTTGCCTTTGTTATTCTAGGACTCTTCTGGTTCCAAATGAATTTAGGATTTTTTTTTTCTAATTCTGTGAGATTCACTGTTGGAATTTTGATTGGGATCGTATTCAATCCGTGTAGCAGTTTTAGAAGTATGGCCAATTTTACTATATTTGGTTCTTCCTAAGGGATGTCTTCATTTTCTTTTTCTTTTTTTTTTTTTTGGTACCGGGGAATCAAACTCGGTCCCTTGTGCTTGCAAGTCTGGCAGCAGAACCACTGAGCTAAATCCCCGGCCCTATGTCTTCATTTTCTGATAATCCACTTCAATTTCCTTTTTCAGAGTACTGTAGTTTTCAGTGCATAGGTCTTTTACTTAGGTTGATTCCTAGGGTCTTTTTTGGATGCTATTGTGAAAGGGGTTATTTCTCTAAAAATGTCTTTCTCATTGAGTTTGCTATTTGTGTACAGGAAGGCTATTGGTTATTTGAGTATTGACCTTGTATCCAGCTGCACTACTAAATTTGGTTATCAAATCTAGAAGTCTTGTAGTGGAGTTTTGGTCTCTTCTATGTAGAGTATCATGTCATCTGCAAATAATAATTTAACCTCCTTTTCTATCCTTATTCCTTTTATTTCATCCTCTTGTTTAATTGCTCTGGCTAGTGTTTTCCAGAACTATATTGAACAAGAGTGGTGACAGTAGACATCCCTTTCTTGTTCTTGGTTTTAGAATGATATGTCCCTTTTTTTTTTCTTTTTTTTGAGTGGTTCTTGCTGTGTCATTCAGTCTGCCCTTGAACTTCAGCAATCATGCCTCAGCCTTCCAAGTGCTATGATTACAGGTGGGTGCCACTATGCCTGGCCTTCATTTTTAAAATATTAATATTTTGTTCCAGTAGATCTAGATATTAATCCTTTGAGATTAGGTGATGGGTAAATAATTTGCAGATATTTTCTATTGTCTTACAGATTGTTTCATTACTGCCATTTCCATTGTGCAGCTTTTTAGCTTGATCTTGTTTATTGTTGCTTGTGTCTTCAAGATCATGTCCAAAAATGCAGTGGTCATTCTAACTTTCTGGAGTATTTTCCTTATTTTCATCTAGCAGTTACATATCTTAAATTTGTCTGTGATCCTCTTGTACTACAGGTCTAGTTTCTTCTGCCTGTAGGTAGCCAGTTTTCCTGACATCACTTAATTGAAAAGACTTGCCCTTCCCCAGTATGTGTGCTCTTGATGCCTTTGTTAAAAATCAGGTAGCAAATCATACTACAGATGTATTGTTGCTAGCTTTGGTATGGTGCCTATCATGCTACTAGTTTAGTTGTTTGTTTGGTGTTTTGTTTTGTTTTTGTTTCTGTTTAGAGTCTTGTGGTTCCATACAAATTATAGGACTATTTTTTCATTCTATGAGTACTATCATTGGTAAGAATTATGCTAGCTAAACTGATTTGTAAAGTGTGGACATTTTAACTTCCTATCCATGAACATGGGATATATTCTCATTTTGTGTATGTGCTCATTTTTTTTCTTAAATATTTTACCGCTTAAGTTAATTTCTAAGTGATTTTTATAGTTCTAACAATTTTAGGGTAGAATCATTAATCATTGTTTGCTATGTACTGTGTAAGATCATGCCATGTGTAATAACATTTTGATTACCTCTTCTCCAGTTTGGATGCTCTTTATTTCCCTTTTGCACTTCAGGCTGGCCTCATGGCAGTCCTCCTGCCTCTGCCTCCAAGTGCTGGGATTACAGGTGTGAGCCACCACGCCTGGCTAAAAGTGAGCGTTCTTGCTCCCATTTTAAAGGAAAACTTTGAGCTTTTCCCCATTAAATGTTAACTGCTGGTTTATATGGGACCTTTATTATATTGAATGAAACAGTCTCAATCTGTAGTTTAGGGTTGCCTCTAACAGCAGTCTTCTTGCATCAGCCTTGTTGAGTTACTTTTGTATCTAATTTTGTCTTTTTATGTTGTAATGTGGAGTTTGGTTTGCTTTTCTAATTTCTTGAGATAGAATAATAGGGGGTTTATTTGAGAAATTTTTGGCTTTGTGTCTGTGTGCTGGGGGTTGAACCCCAGGGCTTCTACATAGTACAGCACACACTAGCACTGAGCTATACCCCCACCTTTTTTACTGTGATCATTAATTCCTATAAACTTCATTTTATAGAGACTGTATTTGTTACTTTTCTCATTGCTGAGATAAGATACCTGACACCCAAAGTTAAAGGAGGAAAGGTTATTTAGCTCACACTTTGTAGAGGTTTCATAATCCACTGGCTCCAAGGCAGAGTGGCACAGCAGGCATTGCTGAGGAGAAACAGTTCATGGCAAGCAGAAGGTAGCAAAGCAATAAGTGATATCCCTTATATCTTACCAGGCTACTTGGCGTGGGATCAATCCCAGGGTCACACACTAGTCCAGCCCCACCTATGACTGCATGAGGATTTGGGGGGCATCTAGATACAAGCCATAACACTTGGTTTCATCTATCTTTGGTTAATTTCTATATAAACAGTCATAGGCAGAACACTTGGCCTAGTGCATGCAAGGCTCTACATTCAATCCCTAACACACACATAACTCCTGGGTGCTGGATATTACAGTGACTTTACATTAACAGGTATATATACTTCAGGAAAGTGAATCTTAACAAGCTTGAACTATCCAAACAGAAATGAGTTTGATGGGGGAAGCCAGCCACATAAACAGGTTCCCAAGTTGGGTGGGTCTCTTAAGGCTTGCTTTCTAGGAGAAAAAAGTCATTTACTAAACTGGGCATGGTGACACATACATGCCTGTAATTTCACCATTCAGGAAGACTGCTACAAGTTGAAGGCCACCCTGGACTCTTCATAGTTCAAGGCTACCCTGAAGTGCATAGCCTCAAAAAATAAATTTACACCGGGGATTTAGCTCAGTGGTTCGGTGGACTGCCTTGCAAGTGCAAGGACCCGAGTTCAATCCCCGGTACTCCAAAAAATAAATACATAAATAAATACATAGATGTAATAGGACTGGGGATTTAGCTCAGTTCTGCCTCACCTGCCTTACAAGCACAGGATCCTGAGTTCAATCCCCAATACCAAAAAAAAAAGCATTGTCCAACCTTTTGGCTTGCATGGGCTGCATTGAATAAATGGAGGTTGAAATACTGTCTTCACACTGTGTTACAAGCACATGTAACACTTGGTACACACTAGACTAGATTCACCTGTTCGGTAGAGGTGGTGTTTGGCATTACACTCAACATCTGTGGAGGAACACATTCAAGTCATGAGAAATCTAACTTAAAAATGACATGTTAAAAGTGCGGTTTCATGAGGCTGCATTAACTGTCTAGGATAGGACCACACATAGCCCTCAAGCCATTGGTTTGACTCACCTGCAGATAATGTTTTAAAATGCCAAATCAAAGAGTTTGAAAGTAAGACACTGGCTCAAAAATGAGAGAAGTGTTCAGGCCTTGAACCAAATAAAATTAGAGTAAAATGTACCTTTTAGCCAGGTGCATCTATAGACTGCCACTTGAGGAGTCTGAGACAGGAAAATTGCTTGATCCCAGTTCACCTATAGCCTGGGCCACAGCAACACCCAGCTGCTTTAGAAAATGAACAGGCATGATGACACATACCTGTAATATCAGCACTTAGGACAGAAGTTCAAGGGTAGTTGAATACATAATGAGGCCATGTCTCAACCTAAATAATAGAATTTAGTTTTATTTTTAATGGTCTCACTGTGTATCCCAGGCTAGTTCTTGAGCTCACAGTGATCCTGCTGCTTCAGCCCCCAAGTGCTGGGATTATAGATAAATACCACCACACCTGGTTTAAATATTAGAATTTACCCTGGTGTGTTACCACATCCCTGTGATCCCAGCTGAGGCAGGAGAATCACCATGTGTCCAGTA